TGTAGTTTTAACATTATGGATTGCTTTGTGGTTTGAGTTTATATTTAATCTTATAAACAAAAGAAAATGCCTGAGCATTAATTTTTTGTCAGATTATGTAGTTAATTATTGTTGTTTTCATGTATGTGCTTGCCTGCATATCACGTCACTGAGAATAAATATAATATTATAGTTTGTTCGTAGAAGTGAATTTTTTAATCAGATGGTTAGAGTTTTGAAGTATGAAGTTTTTTATTTTGAGTTTCTTTATGCATCTGGATGTTTTGTGGTTAGACAAGTTTGAACTGTTTCTTGTAGGGATAAGTTTGTTGGTTTCTGTTCAGGCACCTTTAGTTGGTTCCAAAATTTTGCAACTTAAAATTATCCAGGTTTAATATTATGCTTTTGCATTGGTTGTGAACTGTTGTTCAAATTTATAAGTTTGCATGTCTGTTTAGCAGTATAGTTGCTGATGTAGCCATTTAAGAGGACCGATATAGCCATTTAAGAGGACCGATGTAGTTCTGGAACAAAAGAACATGGTTTTACCAAATTCTCCCTTTGAATAACAAAAAATTAGATTTCTACCTTTTGCAATTTTTTTGTTCATGTCGTATCAGTTGACCCTAGCTGTATCCTTACACAATGTTCCTATGTTTACATCAAAAGGCTGGCATGCACATATATTCAAGAGCTGCAGCTAAAGGGAAACGTGTTCAAGTAAGTCCGCTTCATATATAACAGTTGGTGCTTTTGAGCCAAATGGTAGCTTTCATGCCCTTGAAACAGTTGAGGGTGAAATTTATTGTTTCCTGATTTGACTATTTCTCCAGACCAATATGGGGGCAAAGAACCATGCCATTATCATGCCTGATGCTAGTGCTGAAGCTACTTTGAATGCTTTAGTTGCTGCGGGCTTTGGTGCTGCAGGACAAAGATGCATGGCACTCAGCACAGTTGTCTTTGTTGGAGATTCAAAGTCATGGTATTATTATTACTATTATTTTTAAATTTCATAAGGTTTAGCCTTTTAGTTCATCATTAGTGTATCCTTTTTTGATTGAAGGCTGAAAGCTTGAAACTTACCTTCAGTGTTACCAAAGGAAGGTTGACCTTCAGTGGCCTGACCTTTTGAATCCATCTCCACTTACTGCTATCACAATGTTCTAGCGAATCCATCTCCACTTACCGCTAAGAGACAATGTTCTATTTGCTAGAAGGCTTCTCCAATATGTTCCCTGGGGCTTGAGAAGGATGAAAAACAATGCACACCCTTAATTCTGCTTTCTAGAAGACTCCTCTGGAAAAAAAAGAAAAAAAAAAAAAAGAAAAAAGAAAAAAACCAAGAAACGATTTTTGTAAAAATTGATTTCTTGTCTGTGTCCATTTTGTTAGTGTACACATCACCTAAAACCTTGTCACATTTCTCTCTTGGTATCCCAGATGTCTTGTTATTTCCACGTAACCTAGGTTTTAATTTGATTACTGTCATTAAATTTTAGCTATTTAACTTTTTCAGGGAGAACAAACTTGTGGAGGCTGCCAAAGGTCTGAAAGTAAATGCTGGAACAGAACCTGATGCTGACCTTGGTCCAGTAATTAGCAGACAGGTAAGCAAATTAAAGGTTTTTTTTTTTTTTTTTTTTTTTGTCCTGCCACCAATCAGATTACCAAATAGTAATGTTATTGAAGCCTAATTTTTATATATTATCCGTCATATACTTGAATGAGTAGTAACCAAGTAGCATATTTGTTGTTAAAGTGGCAACTCCTTGACAGATAACATCCTCTTTGCTCTTGACTGACTGATAACAATTGTTTACCGGGTTCATTCACAGGCAAAGGAACGGATATGTAAATTAATCCAATCTGGTGTTGAAAGTGGTGCCAAGCTATTGCTTGATGGCAGAAGTATAGCGGTATTTTTTTATGCTTTCTGACTTAATGCTTACTTGCTGCATTAGATGCCTCTGACATTTTATTGCAAGTGTCGGCATGTGTTCTGTTAGGTAACAAGTATGCTTAAATGACTCGATTTTTTTCAAAGATAATCACTGGTCAGTTATCTACTCATTTATGGGTGACAAAACAGGTCCCGGGATATGAGCTTGGCAATTTCATTGGTCCTACAATCATATCAAATGTTACAGCTGACATGGAGTGCTACAAGGTATTGTCTGTAGCTATGACATCCACATAATTTGGAGAACTTAATGGTTTCAGATATGGTCCCTGTCACTTTTTTGGGGTGCTTTTTATTGGCACTCCAAAAACTCATTGTGCACTCTTGATAAGTGTATTTTTCTTTCTAAACATAGAAACTTTGGAATGCACAATGATGTTTTGGAGTGCCAATAACAGCACCTTTTATTTTTTTACTCAAATTCGATGGAGTTTCTAAAGGAAAAAAGTTACTTAATTTTATGCTGGGATGGACTTGATTGTTTTTCGACCTTGTTTTGTGCAGGAAGAGATTTTTGGTCCTGTTCTTCTTTGCATGGAGGTATGTTTATTGAATCCATTCGTGTTTCTCTGCGATTCAACTTTCTCATTGCCTGGTATGGGTGTTAACAAATTTGATTTCTTCTTAATGTCAGGCGGACAGCTTAGACGAGGCAATAAGCATTGTTAACAGAAACAAGTACTCATTGATTTTCTTGTTGCCTTAATTAGCTTTAGTGGAGAGGAAAAATATGTTGTTCATGTGAGTGAATTATTTTGAGCAGATATGGCAATGGAGCTTCTATATTTACTACGTCTGGGGTAGCCGCAAGGAAATTTCAGACTGAGATTGAGGCTGGACAGGTAAGTCAAGTTCCTAAGCATCTGTTGCAGCTGAGTTAGCAAGAAAAGTAATATGAACTATGGAGATTAGTTGACGGTAGTATATAACAGCAGATTTGTTAGTTTGGCTCTGGTTGGCAATGTTTTACCATTTTAACTTCGAGCTATATTCAGTTAAACTGTGATGGCTACATTGATACGTTTAATATCAATTTCTAACTTGTTTTACCCGCTTTGTATCAATTTCTAACTTTGCGCATGAAATAGGTTGGAATCAATGTTCCTATTCCAGTTCCCTTGCCCTTTTTCTCTTTTACTGGCAACAAGGCGTCTTTTGCTGGAGATCTGAATTTCTACGGTAAAATATTTATCACCTCTTACGCAAAGTTGTTATGATAATAGCAATATTTTCTCTCGTTTCAATAGTTAATTGTTCAAAAGCTGGTTGAATACAATCAATTACCTGGATTTGGTCAATTGTAAGAGTTTGTTTGCTCTGAATTACAGGCAAAGCTGGTGTTAACTTTTTCACACAGATCAAAACAGTTACTCAGCAATGGAAGAATCTACCCGGCAGCAGTGCGGTTAATCTCGCAATGCCAACTTCTCAGAAGGCTTAGTTTTCTTCATTACAAATGCCCCTTTCTGGAACTCGTCTGAACATTGCAATAAAATCAATGTCAAGTTCTTCAATATATTTGCTTTCTTCCACATTTGTTTCTCTTTTCACACCCCCACCCCCTTTTTTTTTCTTTTTCCTTTCAAAGATTGTAGTGCATCTTACATCACAAGATTTGCACCATATTCTGGTGCTTCGTACCGTTTGAGGTGAGATCCCTTGATAATCTCACTATGGCAGTGCACGTTACAAAGATTGCAAGATAAAGTTTACTTCTTCGTCATTGGAAATTTGGAACTTCATCTTGGTTCTTTTGTTCGGTTTTCACCTTTTCCTTAAAACTTGCGACATGGTCCTTTTCATTCCATTGTTGGATGCACTTGATGCACAAAATCAATAAGACTTTGGAACAACGTGAAATGTCAATTTTATGACCTTCGTTCGGTTGTTTCGGTCATTTAGTGATGATAATATATAAAGAGATAGAGGTAGGTAAGCAAACACAAGATGCGCATTGTTCACCGTCCACGGGGTTGAGGAGTTCTTATTAATAGTGAAGAGATTACACAATACATAGGTTAAGGGTTTAGTGTTACGTTCACGGGGTTGAGGAGTTCTCATTAATAGTGAAGAGGTTACACCATACATGGATTAAAACATAATCATCATTAGTGGATTCTAATGCCAAGTTTAAATACAGTAATGAGATTAGGGATTAATTGTAGGAAAATGATCTTCTTTTATATTTGTGGAGAGTTTTTGGCTTTCGTCCGCAATCGATGTGACTCATGGAGTTTTATTCTGACATTGACATGTGTCGTTCTATGATTAGCCTTTTGGTTGGAGGAAAACACTTGTGCTTCGTGAACCTCTCAATGAGCCCTTGAAGGTATAAAGTTGACCGCTGCTTAATAGTTTCGGGATTGATCAAGTATGGCACAAACACACCCTTTTTGGATTTATCAGAATTTTTTGAAGTGTCACTCGTTCTACTATTTCCGGGCTCCTCATTAGGCCGATGAGATTGCTTTGCAGTTGAAGCCGGTGTAATTTGTGGCGTAAACGCCTTGTCTCCTGCTTTCAGTACCACAATCTGCCAAGTGTTTTCTGGACTATTTGTCCGCCGCGTGAAGGGTCCTTGATCAGCTTCATGAACCAGGTGCTAAAAGTTGGGGGATCCGCGGTGAGGCATGGACAGAGCATCGCCAACTACAAGTCTAGAAGGCGATCATTCCACTAAAATGTGACATAACGTATTATAGCATTATCATTGGAAATAATTAATCCCCGAAATAATAATCCGTTTATTGTTAGGCAATGTGCACTCTCTAATGTTGAACATATTCTTCACTAATGTCGGTTTTGAATGACTAAATAATCCTCTGATTTTGATGAAGCACTAATAAGAATCTTCTAAAAAGATTTTCATTGTAGAAGTGAGGTGATTCCCACATCATTTTTTTAACTATTTTTAGCCGTTAAATTAAATAAATAAATAAAAGTGAACTGCAAAATAAAATCAGGATAAACTTAAAACTACCAAGAGAATCAATACCACTAATCTAATTCGGGTTAACTGGAGCTCTACCCGGGCCAACCAGACCCGTCTCCGCTGTCAGTAACAATAACGCGGCACGCACACCGTTACTCACATTGCGTTTGCTTTGCTTTGAGAATATGAATGCTCTTGGCGGTGGCGGCTATGGCGGCCTCTGGGGTTGGAACTCCTCATCCCCCAGAAAACCCAAGCAGCCAAGCAAACGCCCATTCGATTCCAAATCCCAGTCCTCCTCCAATTCCAATTCTGTGGACGCAACCGGAAGAGCCCGTCACTGGTTCCCCTTAAAGCAAGCCGCCACGGCTGGCTCACTGGCTCTGACGGGAGATACAATTTCTCAGCTCACACAGCGCTGGAGAAAAGCAGAGGCGGAAAACCAACAGGTTTGTCTAATTTAACGTCTCTTTCTTGGCTTTATTTAGCTGCTTGGTTCCTGAGAACATGTAGGATAAAGATAAATCTTGGAATTTTATAATGTGTTTGGTTGCTGAGAAAATGTGGGGTAAGGAAAATGTTTGGTTGCTCAGAATATTTTGAGGGTTTATAAAGTTTGAGGCTTGGAATTATTTATAGTTGGGGTTTGGAGTGAAAAAGGACCAACTTTTCGGTCTCTGGCTGTGTAAATTACTCGATCCATTTCCGTATCGCTCATGATACATACCCAGGCACCCCCTTGAAATGCGTATCCCATTTTTGCACAGCAGGGTTATGAAACTGGCCATATTGTACGTGCCAATTGCATTTTAGCTTATAAACGCGTGGATATCGAGGTTTGTAACTGAGAGTTGGTTATGTATTTCTGAGTGCAGCAGCTACTTATTAATTTGCTGGAATGTTGTTTCTTATAACTGTACCAAAGTTGGCGCGAATGCTAAACTGGTGCTCCTTGGTTGTATGTGTTGTGTTAAATGAAGGAAACTCTTGGATCTCGTTGTGTTAAACTGACTAGAAAGAACAAGTGCCTCATATGGTTGGATGGCCCTGTTAGACTACAATGTCCCAGCTTATAGGTTGTTACCCGCTAAGCTATTGCTTAGCCGAAGATTGTGGATTCAAGTTTGTAGCAGGTGAAATGATGGATCAACACTTTGGGCTGTAGATCTTGAATTTCTTGTAGATTTTTGGCTCCGCTAGTGAACACAATTCTAGGTTCGAAACATATTACCTTAATCCTTTTTGCGGTGACAAATCTTGTATGGGTTCTTAAGAAAAGGAAGCTGTCCATTTTTCGGGAGAACTCTTGCATGGAAATGGAAAAGAATCAAGTCTCTTTTGGAAATGGTAAGATCTTTGGTGCAAGGAGGAGTTGACCTGTATCATCTTGACTGGGTTCTGTCTTCGAAGGATACCCCTCATCGATGAATAAGTGGAAAAGTTATCTTGTCAGTTTACGGCAACATCATTCTTATGTGTGGTCTCAACCAGGAAGGATTTATGTAAACCAATTATCCAAGCATTCACTTAATTTTTTTTGGGTTATTTTTCAAGTATGTGACCAAACATCTCTGTGGTGCGGAGTCAAATGCTAGAAAATTCATTTATAATGGATAATGCTATGAAGATCATGGTGTGCCTCCTAGTTGATTTGTGTGGTCCATCCGCCAAGCTTGATGACTCTTTGTAGCACCGTCAATTGGTCTCGTCTTGTCTAATCTTTATAGTTAATGTCTTGTAAGGATGCTTTGGTACATTAGTACTTGTGTTCCTTTGAGTTTAGTGACCAAATTCTCTTTGTTAGGATGTAAAACGTGCTCTCCTCTCAGACCATGATTGGCTTCGTGCACTGCGGATGACTTCCTATGGGTTTCTTTTGTATGGCCCTGGTTCTTATGCCTGGTACCAGTATCTTGATCATTCTTTGCCTGCAAAAACTGTCGAGAACCTACTGCTGAAGGTTCGACCTCTTTTACATCAATCTTGAGGTATTATGACTGTAAGGAACTCTGAAAAACCCCAAAATAAATTTTGAGGAAACAAAAAATGAAAGTCAGCCTAGTTTGGAAGGTATCTCACCTAATTTGGAAGGTATCTCATAGCTTTTTTCTACTTACAGGTTTTGTTAAATCAAATTGTGGTTGGTCCATGTGTGATTGCTGTTGTTTTTGCATGGAACAATTTATGGCTAGGGAAAGTGTCACAGCTTCCAGGGAAGTACCAAAGAGATGCTCTTCCCACTTTACTTTATGGTAAACTTCTTTTGATTGTTATTTGCATTCACTTTGCAGCTCAGATTTCATAAACTCATATTTTCAATTTTCGTTATATTAATTTGTGCAGGGTTTAGGTTCTGGATACCTGTCACTGTATTGAATTTCTGGTACACCATTTTCTTTTCTGCGATTTATTTCCTCTTTTTCCGTCACCTTTGGCAAGGGAAATTTGGCTGTGCCTCCATTAGTGCCATCATAGATAGTGTTGGAAATCGTTTATAAACTACTTATTTTCTACAAAGATAATGAAAGATTTTTTGCAGTGGGTAATGGAAAAATTCTTTTCCTATAACATCGTACTCTGGCATATAATTCACTTTTAAATACCAAATTAAGTGGTAGCTTTGTGTAAAAATTTGACCGGAATAGCTTTCTATACAGGGTGGTTCCTCTTCAAGCTCGTGTAGCTTTCATGTCTGTGGGTTCAATTTTTTGGAACTTCTGCTTGTCTTCAACTATGAGCAAGTAACATCTATGCATTTTATCAACAGTTGTTGTCAGCAAGCAGAACTTTGGTCACGAGGTATCTTCTACATCTCCGATTGCTTACCTTGCTTTGAGCTTCATAGTTCTTCCTGTTTTATGCTATTTCTTTACTCGCTGCAGGTTGGTTTGGGAGTCTGACATCCGGTGGACCACAGGTTTAGAAGAAAATGACGACCTGAAGCAACTTTTTAGTTAAAAAATGAAATTCAAGCCCTTCGAATTCGAGGATTGTTATAACAATGTGGACCTTAAGTTCTTTTTCTACTAGCCATAAAAGAAGAAAGGAAAGCCGATATGTTTCTTAACATACCTGATCATTACCTTCGTCTTACACGTAATTTTTCATATGCATGACTCATACTGAATCATACAACATCCTCCGTGAAAGAAAGGTAAGAATGTTTAGAAATGAGAAGCCTTGAGTTAGCTAGTGGGACCAAAAGGTGGCAACTGAAAGCTGAGACTCAGAGGAATAAACTTTGAGAACTGGCGAGTGCACTACAGTGGACAAAATCCAAGGCGCACGAGCATCTGTAAACCGTTGATTGACTTGTAAGAATGAGTGATTGATTGTTCGGTTGTGTGAATGTGTGTGGCCGATGCTGGGAAACCTCTGCCGCAGAGTGCGTTGTTATCTCAATCACATCGCGGAAACAGGAAAAGATAGAATCTGAGACAGATTGGAATCGATTCCTACGTTGCTCTTTTTGTCGAGTCTACGGTAGCTTTTCTTGCACATCGCAGCAGAAAAAAGCATCTACAACACAAAAGATGACAATCTTAATTGACAAGGATATATGTATGTAAACCTTGAAGAAGAGGAAGGAATAAAAACTCTTAAAACCCCAAAACCTATCAACAATATTGCATAGGAAGTTCAAACTCCGGAGATAGAACATAAGACATCATGAGCAGTACCAACAATGCCTATTCTCCTCCTCTTCCTCTTCCTCATCCTCGTGTAACCTACCATGAGCCGCTTGACTTCTTCTTCGGGATTTTTGAGGACGATGATGGTGAATGGGCTTTTGGGAACCCTGTTGCTCCCCTGCATGATAATTTTCAAGACACTCAAGTAAGTACGGTTTCTTTCCCTTTTTCTTTATCAAACCATGTATGGGTTATGACATAAACTATTTTCGTTGCATAATCAGGTTACCAGAACGGGTGCGTCGGATTCAAGGCGACCATTTGAGGGAACGCTAGCACTTGCAAGACCTCCAGGCTTAGCAGGGTAATCGCAGTCAAGACCACACTTCACATGCAGCTTTTTCTTTTCATTTTTTCATGTCATTGATTCACATATCAATCAAATGATTTATACGCATATGTATTTGGTTTAGCATCAGTTCATATATGATCTAACCGCTAATGTGCCTCATTCGAGCACAGCCATTACTCTTGCATTTTATTTGTTATCCCTCTCTTGATGATTTGCAATTAATCGCCTTCTACTGCTGAAAAATTTACAGTTCAGCAGTAGCACCAAGTTCCCGAATTCATGTTCTGGTCCATGAAATGGCAAGACAGGCAGACCCTAGACAGATGATCGGCAGACAATGGAATGCGGCCCCCCCCTAGACTTGAAGCAGACTCCAGATTGACCCGTAACGAGCAAAAGATGGCATTGCAGAAGCTGAAGAAAGAGATATACAATCCTTTTCGGAGAATATCGCAGAGGGTGAACTTGTATTACAGAGACACAGTTATGAATGAGAAGGAAATGGAGACTGATGAAAATAGCAAGAGGTGTGCCATTTGCTTGGAAGACTTTGAGCCCAAACAAGAGGTTATGCTCACTCCTTGTAAGCATATGTTTCATGAAGAATGCATTGTGCCTTGGGTGAAAAGCAATGGTCATTGCCCAGTCTGTAGGTTTTCTATATCTCAGTAAACACTAAAAATATCTATGTATACATATATACACACGCTTTTCTTTGTACCAAGATAGGAGGCGGGTTACGAGCTTGGTACCTCTTGCAATATCAATAAGGAGAATGAAAGAGCAAACACATAGCTCTTATCTCTTGAATCATTCTAAATTCGGGCTTCTTTTTGTACGCATGATTAAATTGTGGCTTATTTTAGCTACACCTTCTAGAACTCAATTTTAATCTTACTTTACTCCCTATAACTCAAAAGTCATAACTTTACTCCTTGAAACTCAAAATTTGCTTCACTTTGCCCCTAGAACTCGAATTTGATCCCAATTTTGCCCTCTGAAACTTGAAAGTCGTCTGTGTAAAACTCAAAATTCACTCCACATTACCTTAGATCTGTTAACCTCTTATGTGTGTTTTATTAGTAGCAGAGAAGGTCAAATAGGTCTTTTCCAAGAGATCCTTTTCCATCAAAGTTTCGTTACAAAACTTGAGAAGTGATCAGATTCGACAAACTTCATAATTATATATTCATTCACAAACTTAAAGTCTTGGAAGCGCAAATGCAGTCAATCATGTCTTGTTTCAGGCTAGAAGATGTCCTTTTGGTGATCAAAGCGATCAACCAAAGTGACCCATAATGCTCATGGATCCTCCTCAGTAAGGTACTCGGTTTGCAAATATGTCTTCAAATAAAGATCATGGTAGTGGCTTTCTCAGCTTCGGCAACCAGGTTGTCCATCTCATCTTTAATGGTGAGACGCAAATTCTTTGCAGTGAGGTGGAGCTTCACATCTTGGACCCACTTAAGGTAGTTCCTTGCAGAGACCTCTAAAGCGGTGAATTCGAGTTTGTTCAAATTCGACATGTTTCTATCACAAAATAGATGGACAAGATGTGGTTAGTGAAATGGAGAAAAAATATCAACCCATTCACATAGGAGTACAACATTCAGGTTTTAATAGACATGCATAAGTTAAAATTCGCATAAATAAGCTTCGAGTTTTCATGGCTGATGTTTTTAAGGAAAACTTCAAGTTTTCAAACAAGGCATGTTTATAGAAACTTCAGGTTTCGAAATAATTATGAACTTCAGGTTCATATGCTCCTGCAAACAAACGCAAATATATATATATACAGAAATATGCAACAAGAAAATATGCAAATAGAACTTCAGGTCTATAATTATAATTGAATTAATTATTTGGACTTCAGCCAAATTGAAGTGTGGGTCAAAAAAAATATAAAACCCATTGAGCCTAAAATAATTAGGCAATTAAACCCAGGGCCCAAAATAATATGCCAAAGCCCACGAGTGGGCTGAACAATTTTCTGCCTTGAGGTTTAGGCCCAGGAACTGGGCTAGAATGGGCTTGGGTAGGTTGCAAGTCCAAGGCAAAAAGGAAAGGAAATGGGCTCGAGTAGCAGGCCCAAAAGTGTGGGGTAGATCCAAAAAGGGAAAAGCCCATGCATGGGCAAGGATCCTGTGCTATGGGGTTGCAGGGAATATCGGGAGCGCAAGTAAGGTGGGGTTCCACTATAGTGGGGATACGGGAACACTAAGCATGGGCTGGTGTTGCAGGGCCGGATCCAACAGAAGGCCAGCTGAGCTCTATGATGCGGGCCGAGGAGTTTGTTCAAGCCTAAAGGGATGGAGCATTGCCGAGGGATAGGCCAAGCCCAAGTGGGCTTGGTTTTGCTACGACCCAGACACCCTAAAGCAAGCTGGGTGAAATCGCCGAAGAAGAGGACCGGTGCCACCGTTTCAGGCGGTCATGTCGTGGTGCAAAAATCACGGCAAAGGTTGTGGGTGCAATAGCAACTCATAAATTTGAACAAAGAGTGAAGAATTCTCAACGTAGTGAAACCCTAGAATTTTTTATTTGAATTTCAAAGAAAAAAAAATCGTTTTCAAACAAGAACTCATTGGGGATGACTTTCAGGTCATCGGAGGGTAGGTGAAGTGGATGGGCATGGCTGCAGGCCATGCTACTCGATGGTTTCACGGTGGGCAACGCCTTCTAGGCGTCAAGTCTAGGTTTTGGGCCTAGAGTCATGGCTCCAAGGTTGGGTTCTTGGCTTAGGAAGGTAACGGGGGTGGCTCATCGACATGGGAGCGTTTCGACGAAACCCTAAACAAAATCCTTCATATTTTTTTTCAATTTCAAATTGATTCAATGTATATTTATATAATTTAATGCATGAGCAGTTATTTGATGCGATTCATGGCAATATCAAATTCACATAATTCAACAATTATGAATATAATGCATACACAATTTATGTAGAATCTAAAATTTGAAAAATGTAAAATTGGGTCATGCATTATGGTGAATGTTCATGCTATCAGGGCTACAAAAATATCGAGATAAAAACCGTTGTTTTGGAAGAACCTGATTGCATGATGATATGGATGAAGTGGTTTGATGCAGAAAACTTCCACGTCAGATTCCTAAGCGCAACGGTAGGAGCGCATTGATAACGTGTTATAACCTATTTTATCTTACTAAGGGAACATGGTCTGTGGCAAGGAGAGGTTGTAGAGAAAGATGTGTTTGTAGAATTGTAGGGGAATGTGTGTGTTATTCTCTCCTACGTAGTGTCTTTATTTATATAAGAGGGAGAAGAATTTATTCCTCCCCAAGGAATACAAGTCTATATAGGAAAGAATAACTAGAATCAAATCTAATCTAGGATTTACACAATCACACTTAAACTAGGAAAGTTTACAACAAATATGAAATTGTTGGGGTCTTTTTCATCAATAGGCTTTGTTGGGCTTGTATTGTAAAAAATGTTGATGAAGCCTTCATGTCCTCCATTTCTGAGTTAATGAGAACTAGGTTCAAAACATCCCTAAAGAGAAGCAAGTCCTAGGATATGCTATGTTGGAGGGGATTTTATAGTGTAAAATTACGACTTTTGAGTTCCAATGGGCAAAATAAGATCAAAATAGAGTTCCAAGGAGCAAAGTGTAGCAAAGTTTGAGTTTTAAGGAGTAAAATGTCGACCATTGAGCTACAGAAAGCAAAGAGAGATTAAAAGCTTAGCTAAAAATAAGTTTTTTTAGCAAAAATTAAAAACTAAAATAGTTTTTTTTTAATATTTTATTTTTACAAACGGTATTATCTACAATGAAAGGAGTAGGCAAAACCTCACAATGGCTAGCAATAATGTAGTTTCAATTCACATTTGACGAGAATCGAACCTCTTATTTATAAATGAAGAAAAATATTACACCATAGTTACTAAGTGACAAAAATAAAATATTATTAAATAGCTGATCATTTTTAGCTTTTATGTTGTAAACTTGTACTGGTACAAAAGCTTGCAAAGGAAAAGTTAGCTAGACAATGATAGAATGCTCACATTAAAACATATTATTTCAATTCTCATCCTTCGATTTTTATTTTTATTTTCTTTTATCTTATACACTCTGTAAAAGAAAACAAAGAATAATACTAATTACTTGGAACCATAAAAATGTAGACTGTCAGTAATTTACTAATCACAATTAAATATCAAACTCATCGTAAATATATTGTTTTCATCGTTAATGAGAGTTACTTTTAAATTGAAATCTCATACAATTAAGTACATGATCGCGTATACCACCACAACAACAAAGATTGTCGGCGAGCGAGAAAATGATGGTGAAAGGTTTGAATGTTTGATTGTGCTTGTGTCCAGTCCACACTCCACAGCTAATCGAAGTGAGTGACGTGCCCCTTCTTCCATTTTGTGTACAGTCAAGTGACGTGCTCTTTTCAGATCCCCAGCCTAGAAAATATGACCAAAAAAAAAAAAAAACAATTTAAAGCAAGTAGTGAAAAACATCGAATCTTTGCATGATGACGTAGATTCAAACTTTGCTGATGATTAATGTAATAAAATTTATCGTTTGACAAGAAAAAAAAACTTAAAACGACTTCCAAGTCCTTATACCTTAGAGATTTTTTAATACGATAAGCACACAAAATGATACACCATCTTACTATAAAAATGATAAGATACGTACGTTAAAAGGTTAATAATTCCAAAAATAAGTAAAAACATGTTCCTATTAGCATAAAAAATTTCTCCTCCTGCCCAGCAACGATAAGCCACGTAGGGTGCTCTAAAACCACATCCACTCCTTGGAAAAATCCCATTTGGCTTCCCCGATTCATTGGAGCTATTTATGTAGCTCGCCCCTACCCTAGAATCCCCGTTCTTTCCCTCACGAAATCCCTCCGTTTTTCAAGGTACGCGCTTCTCCTCTTGTGCTGCTGCTGGTCGTCCATTAATCTTTGCTTTCAGTTACACTCGAGTGCATATCAGTATTGCTTATTGGTTCTGTATATTTCTTGGATTACTATCGATATTCTACATTAAACTATCCTGAGGGAGGGGAGGGTTTGAACCCCGGACGGAGTGGGTTGAGGAGGAAAACTCTAACAACCACTTGCGGTTCGTGTATTTCTGTATCTATGGTTTCATACTTGTACTTGGAAAACAAATCAAACTAGGCATGGGTTTGATGTACTTTTCCTGAATTTGATTTTTTGATCTGTAAATATCAATTGTATGCTTGTTTCTTGAAGATAGCTATGTTTTTGTTTGCATTTTTTGTTGTGAATTTATTGAACCAGTTTTAATTTAATTTATTTTTTATTTTTGGCTTTTACCTGGTTCACATATGCTGTATGCTATTGCTTTTGTTTTGGGTTGAATGGAATTTGATAAATTTAGGGCCTGTTCGGTGTCCTTGAATCCATTTTTTGTTTAAACTTAAGAGTACTGACTATTTTAGCTAGATTCATCGTTTTTGAAAACTATAAATTGTTTTCAAGTTAAATACCAAACAATCCCTTAGCTCCTGTTGAAAATTAATTCTTTGTTTTAGCTACTTTTCGGGACTGAGATGCAATCAAATATTAAGCTGACCTCATATTTTCTTTTTTGTTCCTGCATAGGTTGTTGAACTACTCAAATTCGTTTCCAGTAATCTGTGATTTGGCATATAAACTTACAGGTGCCTTTTTTATCGTACTTACAGATGGCAGCATCATCAGCATGCCTTGTGGGGAATGGGTTATCTACCCACGGTACCAGGCCAAATTTGAGCAAGGACTTTTGTGGCAGGCATCTCTTGCACCCTTCAGCTCTTCCATCGTTGGGTAAAGTGACAAAAACAGTTCTCACAAAGGCGTCGCTAGACCAAAGGAAAAACGAGGGAAGAAGAGGCTTTCTCAAGTTGTTGCTTGGGAATGTGGGAATAGGAGCACCAGCTTTACTTGGAGCGGGGAATGCTTTGGCCGCCGATGATCAAGGTGTCTCTTCTTCAAGGATGTCTTATTCCAGGTTCTTGGAGTATCTGGACAAGGGCAGGGTGACTAAAGTTGATTTGTTTGAGAATGGAACCATTGCAATTGTTGAGGCTGTTTCTCCTGAGTTAGGGAATCGATTGCAGCGGGTTCGTGTTCAACTTCCGGGGCTAAGCCAAGAGCTCCTCCAGAAGTTCAGGGAAAAGAACATCGACTTTGCAGCACATAATGCTCAAGAAGACTCGGGCTCTCTTTTATTTAACCTGATTGGAAATCTTGCTTTCCCACTAATTTTAATTGGGGGCTTGTTCCTACTCTCAAGGCGTTCATCCGGGGGCATGGGTGGTCCAGGTGGGCCTGGATTTCCTCTACAATTTGGTCAATCTAAAGCCAAGTTCCAAATGGAACCAAACACCGGAGTGACATTCGATGATGTTGCTGGGGTAGATGAAGCCAAGCAAGATTTCGTGGAGGTGGTCGAGTTCTTAAAGAAGCCTGAGAGGTTCACAGCTGTTGGGGCTCGAATTCCTAAAGGGGTTCTTCTTGTTGGCCCTCCGGGAACCGGAAAGACTCTGCTAGCAAAGGCAATTGCTGGTGAAGCTGGTGTTCCATTTTTCTCCATCTCAGGTTCTGAGTTTGTTGAAATGTTTGTTGGTGTTGGTGCTTCCCGAGTTCGTGATCTTTTTAAGAAGGCCAAGGAGAATGCACCTTGCATTGTATTTGTTGATGAAATTGACGCTGTTGGACGGCAAAGAGGAACTGGAATTGGTGGAGGGAACGATGAAAGGGAACAAACCCTTAATCAGCTTTTGACAGAAATGGATGGTTTTGAGGGCAACACTGGTATCATCGTGGTTGCAGCGACTAACAGGGCAGATATTCTTGACTCTGCCTTACTGAGGCCTGGCCGGTTTGACAGGCAGGTGTCTGTTGATGTCCCAGACATTCGAGGAAGAACAGAGATCTTAAAGGTTCATGCTAGCAATAAGAAGTTTGATGGAAGTGTTTCTCTTGATGTTGTGGCCATGAGGACACCTGGCTTCAGTGGGGCTGATCTCGCAAACCTCCTTAATGAAGCAGCTATATTGGCTGGTCGACGTGGGAAGTCAGCAATTTCATCTAAAGAGATTGATGATTCGATTGATAGAATAGTGGCTGGAATGGAAGGAACAGTAATGACAGATGGAAAGAGTAAAAGTTTGGTGGCATATCATGAAGTTGGGCATGCCATCTGTGGGTAAGTGATATTTTAGTCTTGTATTGGGTTGTTCTTATGAAGCTCAAGTAACTCAAACTGTAGAATAAGAAACTTAAATGACCCAAAATAATGTTTTGTATTCTCCTCAATACAGGACATTGACTCCAGGGCATGATGCTGTTCAAAAGGTGACATTAGTCCCTCGTGGTCAGGCTCGGGGTCTAACATGGTTTATTCCTGCAGATGATCCTACCTTGATCTCCAAGCAGCAACTGTTTGCAAGAATTGTTGGTGGGCTTGGTGGTAGAGCCGCAGAGGAAGTGATCTTTGGCGAGCCTGAGGTGACAACAGGTGCAGCTGGTGATTTGCAGCAGATCACTGGTTTGGCCAAACAGGTAATTGAACATATTTGTTATCTTCTTATAGAAATTGAAAATGTCGGATGACACTATTAGTTCTATCATACCGAGAAACTTAATTGGCATTGTTGCAGATGGTCACCACCTTCGGAATGTCTGATATTGGACCATGGTCATTGATGGACGCGTCTCAGAGCGGTGACGTCATTATGAGAATGATGGCAAGGAACTCAATGTCAGAAAAGCTTGCTGAAGACATTGATACAGCTATTAAGAGATTATCAGATGAAGCATATGAGATTGCGTTGACCCACATAAGAAACAACCGCGAAGCCATTGACAAGATCGTGGAGGTCCTTCTTGAAAAGGAAACAATGACCGGGGATGAATTCCGGGCACTCCTATCCGAATTCACTGAAATCCCAGTTGAAAACCGGGTCCCTGCTGCAGTTCCATCGCCTGTAGCTGTTTAGATAGTGTAACTCATACCGTCATCGACACTAAGCTAAACATCTATGGTTGGTAAAGGTGTATAAAATCTGTAATTTTTTGTATTACTTGTAAAGTAGTGTAACGTGATGACCAAATATACATGGGCATGAAATTCCTCCACACTCTGCAGTCTTTTATTGGTCTTTTTGTTTTCTACATCGTTGGTTCCAGCCTGATATTTAAACTCCATCTTCTACAGTGGTAAAGAGGAGTGTTGTCATTGCATCATGGTGTGGGTTCAAACTCCGTCAACTCTAATCTAACAAATTTATATTTTTACCAAAAAAAAAAAGAAGAACTCTAATTTTGGAATTTGTGAACTGAATTGAAAACAAAGAGACCTGGTATGCAGGACACTTTATACATAAATTTAGAGCTCGTACATGTACATCACGGTCAGATATATGCGATAATGGTTCGATGATATTGCTATTCTACGTGTTATAACGGTTGAGAAAAATAAAAAGAACTAATAGAAACAGAAACAGCTATTATGTTAATAAAATAGTCTCACAAACTTTTCTTTTGTGTATAAACACCTAATGAACTTTCTTTCGTGATAAGGACAAGAGGCAGTGGTAGTATTGTAATTAAGTTGAGTTTGGTTGCACCAACAACAGTTTCTTCATAAATTTTCAGTTATGAAAAAAAAGTTGCCGGTACTACCAAAGTTTGACTTAATTATGATACTGTCACCATCACGCTCAAACTATTATCACCGCTCACTTGTTATTGTCAATATTATTAATAAAAATCATAAAGTGTTTTTCATTAAAAACTTCTTGTCTTAAGCCCTTTTAATTCAAGCTACCTTATATTAAACAGCTCACAAACTTGTTTGGAAGTATTTTTAAAATGATTGAAAGCTTTCACGGAAACTGGAGGTGGAGATACTGTAACGTGGAGTTCTATGATTTCTGCCTATGGGTTTCATGGCCGAGGAGAGGAAGCCATTAAGCTGTTTGAGGAGATGGAGCAGGAAGAACTGGGGGCAAATGATGTTACTTTCTTGAGTTTGCTTTATGCGTGCAGTCATTGCGGAAAGGACTTGAGTTTTTGGATTCTATGGTAGAAACTGCATCCTAAATTAGAACACTATACATGTGTGGTTGACCTGCTTGGCCGGTCTGGCTGTTTGGAGGAAGCCGAGGCAATGATACGATCATTGCCTGTTAAAGCAGATGCTATCATATGGAAAACTTTGTTATCTGCACATGTAAAACCCACAAGAACGCAGACATGGCAAGAAGGATTGCTGAATAAGTTACTAGGCAGGATCCACAGGACTCAGCGTCCTATGTGCTACTCTCGAACATCCATGCTTCAGCTCTAAGGTGGCATGATCTTTCTGAGGTGAGAAAAGCTATGAGAGAGAGAAAGCTAAAGAAGGAGCCGGCTCTGTTTTGCATGATATGGATAATGAGGAGAAAGAATATAACTCGGCACACCATAGTGAGAAGTTGGCGATTGCTTTCGCCTTAATGAACATTCCTGATGGTGTACCAAAGAAGGGTGATGAAGAATTTGCGTGTTTGCATTGATTGTCATGTTGCTGTTAAGTACATATCTCTAATAAAAAACCGAGAGATCATTGTACGCGATGCTAGTAGATTCATCACTTTTATACGGGTAAGTGTTCTTCGTCTGATTTATGAATGCTTTTAACTTTTCCTTTCATTTTATTGTAGCACAAGATTCAGAAATAGTCATAGCATGCGTACATATTGGAATTCTTTGAATAAATCACGATGTTTAATATACATAAGCTTGAGTCCAATACAACGAAGAATCCTTATCTTCAAAATTTGTATTCGTATCAGTCACTGCAATAGAATCCGGTGGTTTTGGTTTTCCCGTCCTTCATTTACTGGTTTCATATCCTTTGGTTGCCAAGGAACTAGTGGAGGATGGCGAACACAATATTGAGTGAGTTATTAGAATTCTCGTCACGAGGTTTTCACAGAAAATTTCATGGAATAACTAGTCAGTGGAGGCTTTAGTTTTGTGTTCAAAGGAGTTCGTAACGGAAGTTGAAACAATTGAGAGGATTCACCATTTTAATCTTGCAAGGTTGATTGGATTTAGAGTTGAAAATTGATCATATTTACCTAAACAATTTTATTTTTAATTTATTTTTTACAGAAATAATCTTTACAAAATGATTCATAATATTAACAACTATAATAACAACACATAGCTTCGTAATACAAATTAAGTAAGATTTCTACTAATTCATAGGTAATCAAGCATTATTTAGCTTTAAAAGTTTAAACCATATTTGGTGGGGTACGCCGAGCCCATGCTATGGTGCAACACTTGGGCAACACTCAATAAGCCTAATAGCAAGCTATTATAATAATCTTACCCTACAAAAAATTAATTTAATATCATATGAACCATTGGTTTACGTATCAAAATTAAACTAATACAAACAAATGCTACACTTGATCTTAGCCAAAAGGCTGAAAAAGGTATGGTTCAATCTCAAGTTTGGCTTCTGTTTTTATATGCCACTTCACTAGCGTACTTCTGCCACCAGCCAATGTGGAATACAAAACCTCTATGCAGTATGTCTTTGTTGTTATATTCAAATCAAAGGGAGTTGTCAGCACAAGTTTGATACAATTGGGAGTATATTTTAACCTGGAATATGTCACGTGTTGGTAAAATTAGTGATAGTTGTTATATTTACAATAATTTTGAAAATATATTTTAATTGAAATAAATATTTAAATAAATTAGAATAGAAAATTCGAGTAAGAACTTTACAAATGACGGAGTCAGGAACTCGGTTCTATATCCTTAAGACGAAATTGCCTCCTCACTGGTGCTTTTAAGGCCTCGTTTGGCAAATTGCCTCCTCATGACTCCGCAGTCTCTCTGTCTCTCTCTGATTGAACTGTGTGGCCTCGTTTGGTAGCTCGGACTGTACTGACTATTTCTGTCGGATAGGATAAATAGCCACCGGATAGTACTGACTAAATTAGTCGGGTGTTTGGTGCAGTATCGGACTAGTGACCGTATTATTTATACTGTATTTGATATTATACTAAATCGGAGGCATCAAACTTTAAAAAAAAAAAAATTTAAAAATGAAATCATTTTTTTGTTCCTAGGTCTCTCCGCACCCCCCAAACACCCTCCCTCTCTCTCCCTTCTTCTTCCCCAACGATAGAAGAATCCCAAATAATTGTTCCCCAGCTCTCTCCGCCACACCCCCCAAACTCCCTCTCTTTCTCTCCCATATTCTTCTTCCCCGACTAAATAATCCGGACGTTTTGGTTGGTTTTATTAAGCGGGTGTATACCGTATTATCCTATCCGACCGGTTAAATTAATCCGGTGCTTATTTAGTACGAGTGAACGCCAAACACCCGGGTCCGTATAACTAATCCTATCTGATCCTTTATCCGATCTGCCAAACAGGGCCTGTGTGTTTAAGTACTCTTTCTAATTTGTGTCGCATATGGCTCTGGTGACAAGCAGTTGATTTCTCCCACATCATACAATACGAGTTGTTGCATGCTAGTTTATAAATATGACTTCTCTACTGATGTATAACTTGTATGGTTTGGTTGCTCTAATTTTGTTGTGGTATTAGAGTCATGTTATTCGCACAGTACGTATCGCTCGTGTAAATAGGCTCGTGTAAATAGCATGGCTCCTAATACCATGACAAAATGAGAGGTGTTGTAATCAACGCTAACTTTTTTGGTTTATTTATTTTCAACGAGCTAGGGATAATTACCTTACCATGATAGGTTTTGTAATTTGTGAAATTCACAAAGAATCTCCTTTATTTCATGTTGGTAGTAAAGGTATGAATTGGAGTATCTTCAAGCTTCATCCACGTATTACTGATATCAACAATTTAACACAAAAAACACTAAAATTCAGATTGACAGATTCAAATTTGGTGTCACCTCTCCCATATAATTGGAGACTTAGCACAAATCTGCCTCCCATATATATACACCGTAATTTGTAAATCGCATGATGTGACGGTTGATATTTGAATTTCTTATTTAAATCATTAATCCACATAACTAATAATCTTAGCCAAAAGGCCGAGATAGGTATGCTTTTTCTTATGTTTGGCTTCTGTTTTTATATGCCCCTTCATTGAAATACCTCTCCCATACAGCCGATGTGGTGCCCATGCATTTGCAATTATATCCTCTGTGATACTAAGGAATAAGGACGACCAAATCTCTGTGATACTGAGGAATAATGACGACCAAATTGGAGGGAGGGGGAAACAACATATACTCTGTCTACACTCAAAAGACTTTATAGAACTTCAAAGCATTCTCTCTAAAATGTTCGGTTTTGTTTCAACCTTATGTAGCATTCATGCTATATGTGTTAATTTAGCCGTTACATTTAATTTTCACAACTATTTAAATATTTTATTTTTAATCTTAACCATTCATTTCTCGTATCACTCCATACTACATACCTTTGAAAAAAAATTGGAAAATTTCAACACCAAAGTGTCACATCCCAGTTCGGCTCCGCCGTAGCACGATATTATTCACTTTGGGCTCTGGTCACGCCCTCATGGTTTTGTCTCTGGGAACTTAGACGAGAACTTCCTAGTGGGTCACCCATCCTCGGATCGCTCTTGCCCGAACTCGCTTAACCTCAGAGTTCTGATGGAATCCGAAGTCAATGAGTTCCCAAAATGCCTCGTGCTATATGGAGGTTGGCATCTACATATAAGGTATATCACCCCCTCTCTGTTGGTTGATGTGGGATGTTACACAAGGTTTCTTAATATTTTTTTTATTTTTTGGTTTTCCAAGCTGATTGGAAGAGATGCGAGCCCGAATTGGAGGAACTCTCCAATATCGTGCCCTAGAATTAGGGGTGCAAGTTGGATTGAAACTCAAGGTTCTAAAAGACGTTGGGCCAGGGGGCTCTAGGTTTTTCTTTTTTAATTAAATTTATTATATAATATATTAAGTGTATTTATACTTAAAAATATATAATTATATTGAAAAACATAAATTTAAAAATAGAATGAAATATAAACTATAAAGTACTAAAACATTAAAATATATATATGTATATATATATATATAAAGTGCTAAAACATATTAAAAATATAAGAAACAAACATATAATAATAGTTATATAATATGTAAAATAGAAATTATATATCAATACGTTCATACAATTTATTAAAAATATAAAATGTAAAATAGAAGTTATCTAATTTTTAGACAAGTGAGAGTCGCAACCAGCCAAAGCATACAATCCAACTATCCTTTCAAACACATGACGCTAACTAATCCATTATCCTAAGCCTAAATGGCAAGATATATATCAATTCAGCTAACCAACACAGATAAATAAGAACACATGATGTTCAGATCAGAAATAATACAAACCACTGACACTTATTTAAAAACTGGAAAATAAATATATGAAATTTATCTTCACACAAAGTCCAAAGCTAGTACAAAATATTAAAAAACTTTGTCCAAGCACCTGCTCATTGCGGTGACCCCTGTCATCCATATCCATCTCTTTTTTCTTTTTTTCTGCAGACCACTCTTCACAATAATTGTACACTCTTCTTGTGCCTTTTTTATTATTTCAATGTGCGTAACTGAGCTCTAAAACCAACCATAACATAATTAAAACGATGGGTGAGGCCGCATTTTTTAATTATTTAGCTTCAATTAGCAATATTTTTAAATTGATTCTCTAAACTTTGAAAGCTTAATTTGAGAGTTTGAGGAAGAAACTTATAATATTTTCTTTCAACTTTATCATCAACAGTCCGTCTGGGGAGAAACTTATATACAAAGAAAGGGGGAAGCATGCAAGACATAGGAAAATCTACCAACTTCATACGCTATCCCATGATATCCTAAACATGGTAAGATGCCCTCCTGCCTAATCTATATGCTTGTGTCTCAAAAAGTATTAACTTTCTTATTGAAACGAAACAAAACGAAACGAAACGAAACGAATCGAATTTGATTGAAACTTTCACGGAGAGCTTTCGTATCCTTCTTCAGTGGGTGGCAAAGACTCAAACGCTTCAGAAAGAGATTCAAGCATGTTTGTCACTTCCGCTGTATCGTCCAAATAATATGTAGCCTTGCTAGGCTTTTGCCCAACTGTGCAAGCAAAAACCGAAGGATTTGGAGACAGAACTTTCTTCTGCATCGAGTTACCAAATATCTCAAACATGTCCTCGTCGGATCTGTCATCGCCAATACAAAGCACAAAGTCTGCGTGTTTTCCATTTTCCGCCATTGATGAGAAAATCTTCTCTGCTACATGTCCTTTACTAACTCCCTAGAATCATACAAGAAGGAAGCAACCAAAATATATGTTGGATTGAAACGAAAACAAAAGCGAGGGGAAAGCGGAAGTAGAGATTGATGAATCTATATACACATGTACCTGAGGCTTTACTTCTACAATGAACTGACCGTTCTTGACAGCAACAGGTTCATTTGCTAAGACACTCTCCAGATGATCCAACATCTCCTTTGCCTGGGAGGACCCGAAACCAGGGTCTGCGTCACGATATTGCCAAACCAAAGCACTTTCCTTTCTTTCAATAGAAGAACCATCAGTAGCCTCCGTATACAATTGCATCACCGGTTCAACAGTCTTCATCCAGCCAAATTCAAAACCCTGAAGACAGGTTTCCCATTCCTGATTTTGTGACCATCTGAGAAGTAGCATATTGATCGGTGTTAAAGCTCCATTAACGTTCGAGTTTTTTTTTTTTAAGCAGTATCTTTCAGTTTTCACATCATTAGCACAAACACAAGCTATAACTTAACTGACATTTGAGATAGTTTTGACTAGAGACAGAGAGCGAGAGAGAGAGAGAGGCACACACCTTAAGAAGTAACCATGCTCAGCCGCAATTCCCATCCTCTGACAGGGAGAAAACCACTTGCTTAAGCACTCCCTCCCTCGGCCAGTGACAATGAAAACTGTGTTTTTCGGGTCCACACAAAGTGTGTTCATAATTGAGATTACCTTCTGACTAGGGGACTTGTCAATTGAGTTCTGGGGCATCACAGTACCATCGTAGTCCAACAGAATGGCCCTATTTTGTGCCCCTCTGTAGGCTGAAACAATAGCATCAATTGAAAGTTTTCTGAAATTAGGATCAAGTGCCACAACTCTGAATCCAAAGCCAAAACCAATTCCCCAACATCTTCTCTTAAAATGGTCTGCACAAGCTCTCTGCATGTCTTGCAAGAAACTGCGCGACCAATAAGCCACATCGTGTGTACTAACATACCGATAATGCTTCTCATGTCGCAGTTCTTTCTCTGAATCAAGCACTGAAATCGCCACATTCAGTGCCTCCCCAGTTGTTTCAACATTCCATGGATTGACACGGATTGCCCCACTGAGTGATGGAGAACATCCAATAAATTCTGACACCACTAACATGCTCTTCTTTGGACCACTGAAATTTGAACACGATTTAGAACCAGATATTCCTTGTCTGCAGACTACATATTCATACGGAGTAAGGTTCATCCCATCTCTAACTGCTGTCACAACGACACACTCAGCAATGTTGTAATAGCAAATCTTCTCGTTAATGGAAACAGGCCTGTCAATAATGATTATTGGCTCATAGCCTGGTTGACCAAACTCTGCATTGATCCTCCTGCAGCTTTCTTGTATTTCTGCTCGTATTTCCTCCAAATCTATCCCTTTACCTCTCACAGGGTTTAGAATCTGGACCAGCACTGCCTTTCCCTGCCAATTTGGATGTTGCTTCAGCATCTGTTCCATTGCTAGAATTTTCAAATTGATTCCTTTAAAAATGTCCATATCATCTATACCAAGCAACATTGTTTTCCCTTCAAACTGTTGTGTAAGTTCCCTCACTCTACTCTCGTCATCCGCCACCTTCATCACCGATTCTATCCAACCCATATGAACCCCAACTGGCATAATCTTGATCCTGATGTTCCTTCCATAATATTCCAATCCTAAGTAACCCCTCTTTGACTGATATACCAAGCCCAACATCCGACTGCAACAAGTCAGAAAATGACGAGCATAATCAAAGGTGTGGAACCCGATAATATCTGCATTGAGTAAAGCCTTAAGTATTTCTTCTCTTACAGGAAGAGTTCTATATATCTCAGACGAGGGAAATGGACTGTGAAGGAAAAAGCCCATCCTAACTCGATTAAAACGCCTTCTCAGGAAAGTTGGCAGCACCATCAAATGGTAATCATGAATCCAGATATAATCTTCATCCGGGTTTATAAGCTCAACCACTTTTTGAAAAAACAACTTATTAGCTGATATGTAAGCTTCCCACAAAGACCGATCAAATCGGCCTCCTTGATCAGCTGAAAACGGCAACATGTAATGAAAAAGTGGCCACAAATGCCTCTTGCAGAAACCATCATAGAATTTCGACAGAATGTCAGGGGGTAGAAAAGTCGGAACACATTTGAATCTCTCCAGTAAGACCTGTGACACATCATCCTGCTCTTTAGGATCAACGGAAACCTTCAACGAGCCAACATATAGAACCTCCATGTCTTCTGGCAGTCCATCCTTAAGCTGCAATAGCAAAGAATCCTCATTCCAACTGAAAGTCCAACCTTTATTATCCTCCCTTCTCTTTGCTTTCACAGGAAGTTGGTTAGCTACAATGATCACCCGATCGGAAGCAATCGAGGAAGGTTGATCAGACGACACACTACGAGCTTGGTCATCGTCAAGATCGGACAAATTTCCCGGAGCCGTGTTCACCCTTGGGAACCGTCTTCTTTTCCCCTCCATTGTAGGGAAATTCCCTGATGCCAAATCCAAAAGATTTATGTATGACTGCGACATCATTTCCAACTCTGTTTGTAAATGGATAATCTCACAAGACTCTTTTCTCAGACAATCTGCATTTCACATCAGTAAAACATAAATTCCAATCAAAAGTACAATAAAAGAAAAGAATTAAACAAAGTTACAAACCAATCAATGCAGTGAAAATCAAACACACAACTAAATTAACCGCGGAAAGAAGAACGATCCACATTCCAAAAATAAGAGAATCTGCTGACAAAAAAAAGAATGTTTCCTGTACATATGTTCTAATCTTGACGATGCAAAAAAGCCCCAAGATTCTTTTTCCCTCTCGATGGGTTATGTTACACCACAGAGTCTTCTCAAGCACCCGACATTTCTCCCAAAAAAACACAAAACCTAAACACTGAGATACCACATTCAGAATTCATATCCACATTTTACAAAAATCGAATGAAATGCAAAAACAGAGAGGACCCCAACAAGATTAATGAGGCAAAATTGCAGTAAAACACAAAGAACATCAAATCTAAAGCCCACCCAGATCCCAAAAGGGTCCATAAACGATAACCCAATTCTTCACAAACCCTAATCATTAAAAATAAAAATGAGATCAGGAGAAGAAGATTGGAAAACTGACCTCTGTCTCTCTATGTAGTATTAAAACCAAAACGATATGTGTGTCGAGGGTTTGAATGTATACATGAACAGGGGGTTTGATTTGCTTTGAATTTACATAATCTTGTAGTGTTTGATTGACATCTACAATTTTCTTTCCTGAATTGTATTGGGATAATTAGGGCTAATGAATATTATTCAGAGAATTCTATATATCTCAGAAATTAATTAGGCAAAAAATTGAAGAAAATATTAACCTGCCTTTCATGTAAACGTGGAACAAATTCAAGAGGAATTATACGAGCACCCGCTAGCCCAACACGACAGCCAATGAGAGAGTGGGATTTCACGCGGCGAGCCAATAAAACGCGATGAAGGTGACGGAGTGGTGTGCATGCGGGGTGATGTTATCAGAGCTACGTTAGAAAATTGGATAAGGTCAGCCAGCTGGCATCCCGCGGCGACTAGACACACGTTCAACACGTGAGCTGTGAGAACTGGACACGTGAGACGAGGATAGTAGGGAGACCCGGGAAGGGTTTCAGCGCGTTGAACTGCCTCGGGCTTTGGTGCTTACGGACTGACCAATCAGCGGCGCGAGTTCAGTGGTGACTGGGATTCACAGCTGGGATGCTGCCACTTGGGAGTTTTTCAATTATTCGCGCATCTTGAACCCTCTCTCTCCTCTGCTCTCCCTTCCCAATCTTTTTTCCTCCGCCGCTGCAACTGCATGCCTCCGCCGCAGCCTTCCTCTCCACTTCTTAGAGCTACTCCCTGCCGCTGCCGTGGGTTTCCACTTTCCACCTTTGACAGGGACAGCTTGACTCCATTGGGCGCTGTGAAAAATGAAATGATTCTACAAATTGGATGTCACCCTTTCGATGTTGAACGGAACAACTTGGACTTCACCAACATATGGGACAGCAGTGACTTTTAACGTCATTCTAAATTAATCTTAATTTTTTTAACCTCTCAAACAAGTACACAACTTTTTTTTTCTTCCAAACCATATAATCACATCCGTTAAGCTCCATTAATTTTTTCGTTGAATGTACAGGTAACAATAATAGGTCTAACTTTTTAACTTACTTGAACACTAAAATAATAATAAAAATAATTAGATACTAAAATAATAATAATAAAGGCATAAAGATGAATAAATAAATAAATAAATTCACAAATAAAATAGAAAACAAAAATAAAGATTGGGAAATACCAAGCCCCCACCACCTCCAAGCTCAACTTACGACCACCGGAACCACATCCCAACCTTTATATATATAACTCACCAACTGGGTATATTGTGGTCAACATTAATAGTAATTGTCTCAAAAACTAATTTCAAATAGATCATATTATATGAAACACAATGATCAAACGGGTATCTAATTGAAACTAAAACGTACCCAAATTGAAATTACATCACGAGCTTAATCTCCTAACAAAGAGGGTTAAGAATTCAAGTAGGATTTCAAGGAGCTTGTTTCTGCTCATATGATTTCTTCATTCGTTGATTCTCGACTTGAAAAGCTTTTAGTTCTTCTTTGAGGACATTGAAGATGGTGGTGGCCACATCATGGCAGTTCATACCAAATCAATAACCTCCATAACATTATTCACAATGTTGGCGGCTTGAGTTATAGCATAGAGTTGGTGGTTGAGCGTTGGGTTTGGAGGTGATGGTTTGATAGGGGTGGTGATGACTGTTAGTTGGTGAAGGTTATGTTTCCATGACCTTCTATTGATTTTGGAGACAAAGTAAGCCTTAGTTAATTTAACAAACATTTAATTGAGATTTAACGGAAGTGACATTTTCAATAAGTTGAGTATTTGTTTAAATTAACACTAAAAGATTGAGAGATTTTAGGTACTTAATCTTCTTTTATATATATATATATATATATATATATATATATATATAATTTTAAAAGACCTGTTTACTTTGTGAAAAAGCTGCAAAACTGAGATTAAATAATTCAACACTTCTTGAAGAAAAACGATATTATATCATTGATGATAAACACTTCTACACCTAATGGATTTTTAATCTTGGTACTAATGGATTTTGGCTAAATTGAAAGGTCAACTAAATAATTACCATAGATGTTAAACTTTTATGTTTTTATGCGATTCGTCATCCATGCAATTACTAAAACTTTGCCCTAGCTTTTTGTTTGTACGCTTTTAAAGTTGTATGATGCATGCCATGGGTCGGTGCCACAAATTTATATATCTCAAATTGTGATTGAAATACAAAACTTTATGGATGTACTTTAAAACTTTCCCAAATTTGGCTTTATCTTTTGTAAATGCAAAATATTAATGCACTATAGTACACATACCATGTCCGTTAACGCCTAATTCGTTTCGACCCTTGAAAACTGTGCATGCTTAAGAAAAAGCCTAATTGAGGCCCATAGAAAGAAGAGATGACCAAGGCCCAAACAAAGAGGGGAGAACAAAGACCCCAAGAGTTAAGAGGAGACAAATCTTTGGCAGAATTAGGCGAAGTGCTGGTCGTGCAATGTTAGGCGGAGTGCTAGGCATGCAGTGCTAGGCGGACCAGGATGCTCTGCTAAGACTACTAAAGAAGAGTACTCTAATCAGACCACCAAACCAGGATGCACTTATTTGACCTTTCTTAGGAAGGTGGGCTTTTTTGCCTATATAATGAAGAGAGAGATTAGTGAAGAAAGAGAGGCTTGTTAGGGTGGAGGGAGCATACTGCTCTTCGGCTTCACCATACCAACTGAGGGCTTTGAGCCAATTCTATGTACAAATTGTAATCTCAAATTCTACAAATACATAAACAGGCTACAATGTTGTAGCCCTGTTTATGGCGAACCAATATATTTTTGTGTTCATCTTACTAGTATTTTTTATTATATCTTCTATGTTAACCTTAGAATATGTGAGCGTCAACACACAACCCTCTGAATTTGACCCGCAATTTTTTAACGTTAACAATGTCAAATAAAAACATCTGATTGTATTGTAAAGTGCACTGAATGGTGGCACGATTTGGATTGCATTGGTTTGGGTTTTGGGTATGGCATGGAAATCATGTATACGATTGAGTTTCAAAATCCCAGACCCATATCAAATTCATGACATACTTAACTCTACCAAACAACAGACGTAATTCATGTCAAATTTAATTGCATTTATCCTATTTAATCTGGCCAACCGAAAAAAGCATCAAGACAAATTATTCTTCTTAGCTTTTAGCATTACAGTTTCAAATTTGCACGCTGCCACATATCTAGTTGTGTAGGCATAACGATTCAGCAAACAATGCGCACAAAACCGACCAATTCATAGTATTTCTATACAAATTGAACCCACAAGAATATATCAAAAATTTAGATCTAGAATTTGTAGGGCTCACTCCGAAAAGAAAGCCCTTCCAAAAATTCTCAAAGGCACAAGGCTTAACCAAGGCCTAAGAGGGGGTTTGGAAATAGTTTTCAACCAGCAATAGACGCGTCTCGGTTAGAACCTCATTAACTGCGTCATTGCCCCAAGCGCAAAGATGTTTGTTCACCTTATTTTGATTTCATTTTATATGCCTTCACTGCCTGACAACTCCACAACCCATCGATGTGGGACAAGAAATAGTTGCCAAAAGTCCATGATTTCTTTTCCAAAAGCAAGAACAATCCAATAAAATTTCTTATTTGGAACAATCCATGCCTAGCTTTGAGAAGATTTTATGGTCTTCTTTGCCCTAAAAATTTTAATTCAAGTCAATTTTGTTCACCACCATCTCAATCACCATTGTGCTTAGCTAGTGAAGCTGTTGTAAGAAGATCGAAATTCTGAATTGAAATTCATTGAAACTTCATTCAGATTATCGAATAAGTAAGCTCACGACATACCAACCTATTGTTAGTAGAGCGTTTTAGACGATGTCCTCTACCAACAACCGTTCTTAGTGATTGGCGGATTACTTGGACATGATAAAGTGGATGATCTCTATCTAAACAACTAACTAGGCCAAGAGTATTATTTGTTCATACTCCTACTCCCTACATAAATAGATTTAACTAGCCCACTAAAGACCTTCATCAAATCAGTGATCAAAGCCTATATTTTTTCCCCTTTTTTCCCCTTTTTTTCTCCTCCCCTTTGAGTCTCTAACAAAATCCTAGTTCCACATGTTTATGTATGTTGTTCATGTGAACTTTGTTCAACAACCCCATGAATTTTACACAACCTAGCAATTAAGGCAATCTTAGTTATCCTTAGTTGCAAATTATACCTCTCGAATAATTCAACAGGTTGGAAAATACTTAGCTTTTTACATATATTTATCCAAGAAAGGTCAATTGTGTTTACTAAAATTCCTCCTTATTGACCTCTATTAGAATCACCAAAATGTTAATTGATCCAACCATAGTATTAAAAATATTTTGCAAGCTTACACAAATTACCTATTAAAGTTCCCTTAAAGTAATTGGCTTGCATTTGTGGCACGGTTGGTAGTGTCCATCAACGACATTGTTGTTTCTTAGTTTTAGATAAAGGGGTGTGCTATCCACACACCCTATTTTACTTCTCATACACCCCTTGATAATTTCTATCCGTTGATTTTCTTCAATTCATCCGATATAATGGCCGAAAATTAAAAAGATGTGTGAAAAGTAAAATGGGATGTGTGAATATCACACCCCTAGATAAATCTGCACCATGTGTGTGAGAAAGAAATGTTCGTAGGTTTGGGCCCTTGGTCGGCCGGTCCAGCAGGATTTTAATGGGTTGCATGGTTACGAATGGATCCTTTGTAAGAACATAAAAAGTATTCGTCTTTGCATTCGAGTTCTCAAATACAATTATTGTTAATATTATACTAGTATAACAATGTTATATGTGTTAAACCACAAGACAGTATGTCATATTTAGTAAGTTGGATGAGATAAGTTGTGACTAATTAAAATGGACTTAACTATGAGCTGGTGGCTTAATGGTAAAGGACGGATTGCAAGACTTCCTTCAAATTAAAAATTGGAGATCTTGGGTTCGAAACCCACTGCTAGTGTGGAAGCCAAACTTGTGACTAGGGGGAGGTTGAAATGCCTCTGTGAGTCTTCCCCTCCACACCCCACCCCCCCTCCCCCGCGAAAAGGGGTGGATAACTGTGGCTTGCCACCAGTTGTCCCCCTTTAAAAAAAATTAAAAGGGACTTAAGTATAGTTAGTTATTTGTCGTGTCAAAATGTGAGATGGAAATGTTGGACATGATAGGTTGTAAA